ATATTAAGTATAGAAACAACGGAAAAATCACCTAAAGCTCCCAATGTGGGAACAAAGCTGAAGTGTACAAGCAGGTAATTCATTTCCGTGAGAATGAGATAGAAGCAATAGGAAATTGCAGCCACTTGAGATAAACCGAATACTTTATTTAAAAAATTTGCCATTTCGTATACACAACTGTAGTGTGAACGTATCCGTTTGAAACCAGTTGATTTGATGCAAATAACAGTTTTAATTTCAATCGCCTCAAATTCATTGTCGATAGTTTTTAATTGGCTGCGTAACACTTCAACACAGAAAATATAGAAAAACACTCGGACTGCCCACATTTCGATTAAGAGAATATAAAGCAAACAATAAATGAATTCGCGATTACTTGCTGAGAATAATGCCGAAAGACATAAAACTGTAGCGAAGATATATATTGCAAATTTTAATATCAAGCACAACAAGGTAAAGCCATACGAAGCAGTAGAGAGTTTGTTAATTTTTTCAAGATTTGCCCAAAACAGTTGATGTTCGCATCTGTAAAGGACCGAATCTAAAACGATAAACAAATAGGCGGATATAGCCGAAGAATGTTGCAACGCCGCATTGACCATTTCAATTGATTGATATCCAGGGTGAAAATAAATTGTGTAACTAGTTAGGTGAAAAGCATAAAACACTGCCAACGAAATGTGCACAACATGAATGAAGCGAGCTGTTTTTTGATTTCTGGACAATTTCGACGATCCAGAATTATAACCGTGAACGTAGAAAAAAACTCCAAATACACTCAATTTGCTTGGGTAGCATGTTGAATGAACAACGTCCGGCAACACAAGAACTGTAAGCCATTTTGAAACTTCACTTTACTTGCAATCATTCATTCGTGGTATTTTTTTTTATTTTATCGCAGCTTTCACTTTAATGAATTAGTTACGGCTTCTACTTTGAGCGGAAGCAATATAGAATGATTAAGCTAATAATACACGTAAATTGAATTCGAGTCATTACGACCAATGAAATTACTTCAAAATGATATTAATAACGATTAAATAACGCTATTTTCTTTCAAATAATCGCCTTTATACCTATTCAACTTTGAAATTAAAGCCTGCTGCAATATTATTGACGTAATTGTTTTAAAAATATTTTATTTTGTAGAATTCTTTATATATTTTCATTTTTTTAAAGCAATTTTTCTCAGACTCCCGTCTATTTGATGTGCTCCTTGAGTTGATAAAATTGAATGTACATAACCATATAGGTAACAATCGCACCGGTAAGCTAAGAAAGCAAATACTAATTGATTGCTTTTCAAAATGGAATGGATGTATTTACTTTGAGAAAATTATGGTTGTCAATTATAAAAAGCCCTTTGGCATGCAACTCGACTGAGTGATGGATGAACTGCAACTGCGTTGTTTCGATCTGAAAATGATCAATCACATGGGTAAAACAAAGAAAAAACCTTTGCATACGCTAGCACTGATACCTGCGTCGACAGAATAGTATTGTGATAGTACAAGTCAATCTGATTCAGATGAAACGTCACGCTTTTTTTCTAAAACGAATACAAAAGATCAATGATTTACCAAGGGCAGATTTCTCTCGATCGTTGAAGCATACCCTTAGAGAACATCGTGTAATACTTTCAGCGAGGAAATAGATCAACATCAATGGGTGTATCATCCAAATAGTTGAAACTAGATTTTTCGTTTAAATGATAATATTTTCAAGTCCATTGTTGTTGAAATATTTGAAAAAAAAATATATTGTAAGATTCATGCATTACTTATAATGAATAGAGTAGTACGTCTTATAAAATGAAAATATAACCAATTGACATCGGCAAGAAAGAAGTAGAAGCAACATAAAACAGTAGCCGCTTGAGACAAGCCGAATATGTCGTTTAGAAGGCTAGTCATCTCATAGATACAATGATAATATTTTCGGATCCATTTAAATTCTTGGTAATCAGTTTGTCGACTGATGAGAACTTTATCAATTGTTTTGAGCTGAAATTGTAATATTTCCACACACAATATACAATAAAACACTCTGGCTTCACTGATTTTGATTAGAAGCATATAAATGTAATTAATTTCTATAAACAAAGAATCTCCTTTTACTATGACCATCAATACGGCTACAGCTGAAGTGAAGAAGCACAGAACGAACTTCAATATATACCCTGTAAAATTGGCATTATTTTGTGGGAAATGAAATTCATCAATTTGTTTAACAATTGCCCAGAAACGACGATGCTTTCGGTTCTGGATGTTTGATTCTAAGATGATACTCAAATATGTCAACAAAATGGCCGAAATCTGTAAAATGAAATTTATCGCTTCAACCGATGGCTGTGCCGGAATTATTTGGATAGCTAGGTGAATTTTGAAAAGGAACAGAAATGTTGCCATAAAAATATGCGCAGTATTTGTGATGCAAGCAGCTTTTCGGCTACTCGATAATAATGACAGTCCAGAATTAAAACCACAGGCGTCGAAATAATTCAAGACACATGTCAATTGTTGGGGCAACATTTTGTAATTGATGTTAATAATGTGAATGGTCTCTTTTCAGCTTCTGTCGAGCGAAAAGTTTCAGCTTGAAACGCATATTAAAAACTGGATAATTGATCTTTAATAGTATTTGTGCACTTTATTTTATTAGTTTTTCATCTAATGTATAGAATTAAATTCAGAGTGTATGCCTGAACTGAATGTCTGTGGCGCTGTATTTATCTAGATAAGCCCAGTGGCTATTTGGTTGCATACAAACAAGATATCACACTGCTTTGCATGGATCATGTAGCGCACAGAATGAGTGCAACTAACATGTACAAGAACCAAATAGCCGCTGATTAATGCAACTCCATTAGATCGATATTCCATTAATTCATCCTGACACGAATCTAAATATTCGCTAGCATCGTAAATAATAATTATTTGAAACGCAGTAAAAACTATCATGATGTAAGCCATTTACTCAATTTTATTAAAAACACAAACATATGTTTATTTTTCAAAGTGCACAAATAAAATTTACAATGTATTGTGATGTGTTGCCTTTGTTTTAGACGAGCTCATAGAATTGGATAAAAATCACCATGAACGCCACTATTGCTCCAGCAAACTGAAACAAAGCCAATCAATAATTTATTCCGAAATTTGTACCAATTTACTCACTTTAAGAAATGCTCTGTTATCTATTTGGAATAGCCCTTCAGCATGCAATGTAATGGAGTGATGGATGAAATGCAGTTGGGTTGTTTCGATCTATGCAAATATATTTCGCACCCGGTTAATAGGTTTTCATCTCATAAAATACATATATGTTACCTCAGTCAAGATTGTCACATTGTACGAATCAAAGTTAACTTCATGAAGATGGAAACCAATAAATTTTGCCTTAAACCAAATGTTCAAGAAATTGTACAGACATTTTTGTTTTGTTATTTTGCTCCGAAAATCCTACCTTAGTGAAGCATCGTGTCGCACTTTCAGATAAATACAAGATTAGCAATCCTGAATGTATGAAAAAAATTATGCTTGCTGAAAAGGACTTCTCGTTATTACGATAACAACGCATTGGTAAAATATTTCATCAGAAAATAAACTGGTCAACACTTACTCAAATTGAATGCCATTGGAAGTTCGTCAAAGTGAATAAAAAACCAATTTAAGTTGGTCAAAATGTGGTGAAAACAATATGAAACTATAACTATCTGTGAAAAACTGAATACTTTGTTCAAATCATTTGTCATTTGGTGAATATTGTGGTGGAATTCTCGGATCCATTTAAGTCGATGTGCCGTTATTAAGAAACGCGACTTATTTCTAATTTTCCTGATGTCCTCATCAATGATTGTCAGTTGAAATTGTAAAATTTCCAGACAAAATATATAATAAAATACTCTGACTGAACAAATGCTTGTTGTGGAATGATAAACGAAGGTGAATCGATTGGCCATCTCATAATTCATTAAAATCATTATTAAAATACACATAAATGATACCAAAAAATATTCCACAAATTCCAGCACATAGCATCGAAGAGTGTAACTGTATTGATGTGAACACAATTGATTCATGCGTTGGATAATTTGCCAGAAATCGTGATGCTCTTTTCTATGAAGAATCGAGTCCAAAATAATAGTCCAATAGGCATATAAACCAGTAAACGAATATATTGTATAATTTATAACTTCCATTAACCGATAATAAGAAATCAATTCAATTGTGAACTGAACTTTGGAAAATGTGAAGTACGCAAGTATAATCAAATGCATAATATAGATGATAAAAGCAGCTTTACGGCTGTTGGATAGCTTAGTTATTCCGGATTTGTATCCAAAAACGTCAAAAAGTATTAACATGTATTCAATTCTTTTGGGCAGCATTTCGATATTTTTATTATGTCATCCACAACACAACAATTGTTTCTAAAAACTTATTTAAATATACACAATTTACATAAACTTGACGGCTAAAGTCAATTAAGTCTTATTTGATGAATTCCATAATCACGAAATATCAAATACAATAAATAATCTCATAAAAAAAAATTTAATGAAAAAACGTGATCAAATGTAACCTCCATTACCGTCATATTGTTTTTATTAGATCAAACGTGATAAACACGATGTTGATGCAACGATATTCGAAGTAATTCCAATTGCAACGACCATGGTCATTGAGTGCACTCTTAAATATTCGTCTGGCGAAAATATAATGATTTTGTGTGTGTTACATTTCTTTATGAACGAAATTTTAAAAATTATTCTGATTTTCGATCTACTTCTTGAGCTACATTCCAAATAACAACCATTTATAGGTCGTCAATCAAACGTTTTCGCAGAGAAATATGAAATTCATAATAATTGCTGTCTACACGGAATTCTTCAACATTATAACTTCTTACATCAAATTTAATGCTATGGCTATCGTCGCCCAAGTATGGATAGTTCCAAATCAATAGAATTTCGCTAGTAGAGTTTTTTGCTTTTAAAGTCACCCATCCGTCAGTTCCTGAAGGAGTAAACGATCGACCAGCCGAACAAACATAAAGCCATCTGCTGGCATTTTTGCCGAATGCTTTTCCTTTTGGTGATCGTATTTCAGTCGAATGATCACTTGGCGATGGTGTCCATTTACCTGAGAGGTAGATACGAGATTACAGATTTGTAAAGACTTAAAAAGATCCCTGGCATTTACCCCAATTCAGTCCAGCGTCTGTTTTATCAAAAGAACCATTTTCAGCCGTAAGCCGGCCGCAGAAACGTTTATACTCTACAAATGGGGACACTCCGTTTTCGCCATGTGAAAATATGTTATTCGCGGTGCTTGCAAAAAATACAAAAATTAAAAACAAATTCATCATTTTGAAACACATTTGCGTTTCTTCAACACAATTTTTTCACTATTAGTTTGGAATGTGAAGTATCTCGGCCAAAAACTGACTGTTAATGCAATGCGATACACGCAATTTATACAATCTGAAATGAACGATTGTTGAAGATATAAAATACTTGAAACTTTATTATCAAACAACGGTGAGTAGAAACAATGTAACGCTCGCTGAAATACACATTTTCAATTCAAGCTGAAAGGTAAATGACATTTATTATGAAGTGAGTGCTGTTGGGGCACTTGAAATGCAACAAAGTAAATAAAAGTTGCATTCATAATGAGACGAAATTTCAACATCACCAGAAAGATAGGATAAGAGAACTTGAGAGCGAATTCATTATTTATTCTTCACATACGTTTGTCGTATTTCATTCAACAATAACTTCTCATTATTACAAGCTTCATTTTTAATTGAAGTGTGTTCAATGCTCAATTTGTTCAAAATCGCGATGCGATTTCCACAATAGAATGTGATTTTACACAAAAAGCCTAATGAACTTGTTACTTTTCCGCAAACTTTGTTTGTTAGGAAAAGTATTGGTGTTACTAGCCAAAATTTCATGACATCTCCTCTTTCGGACCACTATAACGTCACGCCAAACTTAAAAAAGCACATATCTGTACACTAGGCAATGTAGATGGGATCAAATCCTATCGATCAAAAAGTTGACAAGATAATTGAGATCTGTAAAAGCCAAAAGTTTTGGCATGTTGAGACAAAGCTTCGGATTGATTTTTAGCCCATTCTGATCTACCAATTTCGTACCATAAGCCTCCGACTGAGGACCTGGAAAACCTTGAAAAATGACACTTTTGTATGAAAAATCGCCCAAAAAGCCATTTTTCAGGGTTTTGATCAAGGCAAACTGCCATTTTTTTGCAAAAATAATGGGAGTCTGTGAACGACCGAACACCTACTTGCCCATAAATTTGGTCCGAAATCAACATTTCTTGAAATTTTCCTCGAAAAATAGTCTTTTGTATGAAAAATCACAAAGAAAGCCATTTTTTAGGGTTTTGGTCAAAGCAAACTGATGTTTTTTTGCAAAAATAATGGGAGCCTTCAAACAACCGAACACCTAATTGCCCATATATTTGGTCCGAAATCAACATTTCTTGAAATTTTTGAAATTTTGTTCGAAAATGACACTTTTGTATGGAAAATGGTCGAAACAGTTATATTTTAAGGTCGAAAATGCTATGAAAAAAGGGTCCATTGAAATTTTGGTTAAACATTAAGCGGGCGGTAAACTAAATTGCTACGGAGCGGAAAAGTTTGGATTATGTATGTAATTCGTTTTATTTCTCTAGATGATTTTGCAGTTTGGTTTCGTGTTCATCGATTACTTCAATACATTTCAAAAAACTGAATATATGTTGACATGAAAACTGCAATTGCTCCAGTGAGCTAAAGAAAGAGAAAATGAATTTAATGGATTTATTCACTGAAGATGGAACCAACGTGTTTGCCTTGAGAAAAATTCCATTGTTAATTTGATAGAGTCCTTTCGCATGTAAAGACATCGTATGATGAAATAAGTGCAACTCCAATGTTTCAACCTAAAAAGCGAATTACATTTCATGAAGAGAAATGTTGACTGATAAAAGTGCAATGTCATGGTTTCAACTATGACCCTATTAAAACACTAGAATACGTTGCTAATCTTGTGTCGTGATGAATTTGTACTTTAATTTGAATTAAAAAAACAATAAAATCTGCCTGACCTGCGTTACTAGCTCCAAACTAAGGTGACAGATGTTTATTTCATTCAAATGGGAAGAGATTTTAATCGTCTGGAACAGTTTGAAATGAAAAAAATCAATGAAAATTCCCAGTATTTCAAATGGTTGATTTCTCGTGGAAAAACATACTGTAATGTAACAATTATGAGCTGCACGAAATAAATAGAATATTATAATTTGCGTATGACCGATCCAAGTTGTGATCACTGAAATATATTAAAATTCAATCTTAACCAAACTCTGGATAGATCTCAGATAAAATGTTTCGTTAAAAAAAATCTTTGAAATGCTTACGAATATTTTGTGCAAGAGTGTACTTGTCAAAGGTAGAATAAAACCAATTCAAGTTGGTGACAAAGCTATAAAAGCAAAATAGTATGGTGGCAGCCTGTGACCAAGCGAAAACTGTGCTCAAAAGTTCCATCATTTCACTGACGCAATAATAATACTCTCCTATCCATTTCATTCGTTTCGATTCAAATTCATAAAATGTAGAAGTTTCTGGTGCACCCAATTGATATGAATGCCTTGTTCGAACAATGTTTAGTATGCATTTTATCGTCAACATTTCATTTTCAATTGTTTTCAACTGTTGATAAACAACTTCTAAGCAAAATATATAGTAGAATATTCGGATCTGGCAGATCGAAATAAGGATAATGAACGCAAAAACCGAATTTGAGTTTGGAAATCCGTTGGATGCGTAGATGAGCATATATAAAATTATTGACATTAACATATATTCTGTGAATCGCCATAAATAATTGTTGAAATGTATATTTTGTCTGCAAAAACACTTATCAATCCGTTGTAAAATGTTCCAGAATGAGTTATGCTCTCGGCTGTAAACGAATGAGTCTATGATGATTAACCAATAGGTGTACATTGCAGCTGTATACTGTGCGAATAAAATTACATTTATTTTTTTTCTGTAGTGATGACGAATGCCGGTCGAACAAATTCAAGTTCGTTTTTTTTTGTACCTGAATCATTTCATTTATCGTTTCGAGTATTCCGCTTAGGGCTGATAATTCGACGAAAAAATAAAATTGGTATAACGTGAAAGCCATTGCGAATAAAAAATGCACAAAAATGATACAAAATCTCCCATTTCTACTATTCGATAATGCTGAGGATCCGGTGGTATAGCCCCAAACATCAAAAAACGTTAAAATAAACACAATTTGTCTTTGTAACATGTTGGTGTTTTTATTTAAATAAGCGAAAATGTTCGATGGTCCGCATTGCTTACTTCAACCAGAACAATATGGAACAAACGACATATCTAAATAAAATTATCAGCATAAATGCGACAGCACATTGATGATAGAACATTTAATATTCCAAAAGCAGTCGAGTACTGATAGTAACATTATATTTGTAATAATGATAATTGGTTGCTTTCAAATTGATGAAAAAGCTGATTTTTGAATTCCTTCGAAGCTTAATGCATTTCAAAAAATTGGATAAATATGGAAAAATAAGCAATAGTTGCACTGGTAAGCTAAAAATGAACATAAATATATTGAAAGCATAAGCTTTGATGAAATGAGTATTGGGTTTACCTTCAGCAAAATGCCATTATCAATCAAAAAGAGGCCCTTTGCATGAAGGCAAATTGAATGATGAAGTAGATGCATTTGTGTCGTTTCGATCTGGACACCGAAATCGACTTCTTTGATTACAAGTTCTTCATTTAACGTTTGATTGGAGTGTAAAAATCGGCAATCGATTGCATATAAATGCGAGTGGATATGTTTTATCTTGAAACAAAGGACACAACCGATTTGAATGGAAATTTCTTTTTGTTCCTTCAACACATACCTTTTTTGAAAGCCTGAATGCACTATGAAACAAATACACGATAACCATCTGTGAGTATAAGAACCAAACAGCTAAAACTATAAAAAAAATTAAGAAAACATAAACTTGAAAAAAAAAATTAATTTCACATACTTAGAAGTTGTATAGTAGAATACTCATAATAATGAGCATAAATCACATTCACACCGGTTAAAACAGTGTAAAACCCAAATAAAACGGCTGCTGCATTTGACCAACCAAAAAACTCGTTCAACAGAGTTGTCATCTCGTGAATGTTTGCATAATATTCTCGAAACCATTTCAGTTCATTTGAGTAAGACGTATTATTTAATTGCATGGTCTTCAACTCTCTTTCGATCATTTTCAATTGAAAGTGTATTACCTCCAAACAAAATAAATAGTAGAATATTCGGATTTGACAAACTGTTATCAAAGTGAGATACACAAAAATTGAATCAATATTGTCAAAATTCTGCGTTGAATGAAATAGAAGAAAAAAGGAAACTGCTATAAAAAAGTATGCACTTATTTTTAAAATAAAGCGTTGAAAAGAATTCGTTTGACGACAGAAACAGCTGTCGATACGCTGAAGAGCATCCCAAAACTGTTTGTGCTCATTTCGATGGAACAATGAATCCAATATTATTATCCAGTAGTTATACACTGGAGCCGAAAATTGAGCGGACACATTCACCACTTCAACAATTTCCAAATGATGGTGCGACGGTAAGCAGAGCGTTAGATACACTTTGTATACAGTGAAGAAAGCAACCAAAAAAATATGAAACATGAATATAAGGTAAGTGATTTTTCGGTAACGAGAGAGACTGGATGATCCAGTGGCATAGCTCCAAACGTCGAAAAAGTTTAAAAAATACACAATTTGTGGAGGTAACATCGTCGAACAGCTTCTGTGTTTCTAATAAACCATTTTGAAAGGTGTACCAGCTGATATTTTAAATGAATTTTCCGGAACCAAACTGTCAGTGTGTCTGTGTATGTGTCTGTGCACAATGCACATATTCATTTATTGCTGTTTAATTTGATTGGAAGCATGATAAGTGACTATCTTGGGTCCCTGTTATTAATTAGTTATTTCTTGATAAATTGAATTGACCATTCCATTCGAAATTACAAAGAATGATCGGCAGCTTTACTTCATCGATGACAACAAAAACCAAATCTGAGCTAAATTTCGTAACCCAAGGTCGACTCCACACTTAACTTTTAAATGTGACACCTCGGTAAGTGTGAGCATTCGTCTTGCGACAAAGAGAATGAAAACAAGTGCGCGTGTGCTAAGCACTAAGTGTGTCTGATGCGATGCTTCTAAATGTAGCGACTAACAGACACACACACACTTGTTTTCATTCCCTTTGCCGCTTATTCGCAAGACGAATGCTTTTATTTTGCACGATTTACACAGAGAATATGTTCTGAATGTAAGCAAAGAATAGAAAACGTTCGTTCAAAGTTTGATTCATGTAAGAAATCCGCTCGAAGATTGAAGGATCTTTTTCACATGGAGCTTGCAAATAAGACACCACGCTCCACGACCTTTTTCTTCTTGAGGTCCTGATCAAAATATTTGAAGCTTTCAAGACTTTTCGTTTAATGCTAGCAAGCTTGCTTTTGTTTTTGAAGAAAAAATCGTTTCACTCAGAATTGAGTGTATACCTTCTTCAGTGTGCATTTTTGAAACAACGGTTCTAACTGCGAAATAAAAGTTTTACTCCAAACTAAATGATAATACTATGTGCCAGTGAAATTTTGAAATACGGTCGTCTGTCTTGGTCAAAAATCGATCTGGCGACCTCCATGTGAAAAATGTTTGACTTCGTATGGAATGGTCGAATAGAAAAATCAATTCATTAAACTTAATTTCAAAATTACAACAACAACAATACACTTTTAAAGAGTATTAATACCTTCTAATGCCTGGGTTTGACGAACTCTTTTTTCGCAAATGTAATGCATTAAGTTACAAAAGTGTAGAAGGTTCACAAAAACTGACCGTTTGGCATTAGTGTATCCAATCGATTACACTAAATTACCAATGACCTTGGCATGATTGATTCGCTTAACTTTTTATTTTAAATAATTTCTCAACTGTCCTATCATATTCAATCAAGCAAATCCAATGAATGCTGTTCCAAATTAAAACTAATTTTCAGAGATGGAGTAAATGCAGACAAGTATATATGCAGACTGCGTGCAGACAAGTATATATATATATACAAATACATAGAGTATTAGCTGACGCGTGCGCTCAACGGCTCAACGCAAAGGTATACGTTTTAGCATATACCGATATACATATACATACACTTGCGGTAAACGATGAACAATCTTTGCTAATTTTTGCAAGCAACTTTGCAAAAAATAAAATTTATTCGTCTGCAGTTTTTTCAGTTCGACTGAGGTGTTGCAGAAAATAAATAAATTTATGTTGAAAATGACCTGTTAAATATGAGTTAATTATTCAAAGTACGATCCAAGATATAGTATTTTTATTATTTATATCTGTTTTAGTAAACTACGTTTCATTCAGAATTCGGATCATACAAATTGAATGGGATTAAACTTGCACAAAAAATGGAGAACAAAAAAGAATAAATTTAACGACGAGATTCTCTCCTGTTACTCTATAAAATAAATATTTGTTACAGAAAGTTCCATTTGCTACAACACATGTTATTTTTACAACTTGATGATCGAAGACGAACTCTCGGAGTATCATTGCCACGGGTATTTAATCCCTCGACCTTGAAAAGAGTTGCGTCCGTTGATCTATTTTGAACTAATTCGCCGCCGTATGGATTAACGATAAATCGTGTTGATGAAACAAATACCTGATCATAGTTGGGGCCTCAAAATACAAGTTCCGACTGAAACCAAGAAAAGAAAAATTAGGAACGTTCATCTCCTGGTGATGGTGCGAGAAAAAGTCTGATGGCATCAAGATAATTCATTTTACCACTCCTAGTGAAGGAAATTTTATCCTTTTAACCACCGTTGACGTTCTGAAATAAACAAAATTCAAATATTACTACTGTACATGGCCCATCTAACGTTTGTATTAGTTTACTTTGGGTCGATTATAAACAATAAGCCGCTTTCATACATGGTGCAATACAAAAGACCATTTCGATCAACGGTCAAACCCAGTATCAATGGAAGCGGAGTTACACCACTGTTTCTGAAATCATATACCACTCGGCCGTTACCTTAAAATCGGATTTCATTTGAAAGAACAATCATTAAGCTTTGAGGACACAAGAAAAGCTTCAAAGAAAAATGAATAATATTTACATACGTCTCCCGTTTTGCAGTCGTAATCTAGTTCGACGATTTGATAGCGACATGCATCGCCGTGGTAAAATTTATTCAACTCATAGTTGATCAATCCCGTAGTAATTTTCATATTTGTAAAAATGGTTGTAAGTTGGTATTTTGCATAGCGATACGTTGCATATACGTTGTCAGCTGCACAGAATGTTGTTCTGTTCAAAGTACCCGTAAACAGGCGACCTTTTTTTTCGGCGTAAGCATAATTTAGATGGCCATAGGCTTCGAACAGTGTTCGAACCACCGTAGCGGTTGGTGATACTCCATCCCAGCGTATAACTTTGACAACACCAAGAAGACCAACAACGAATTCATTGTCACATCCTTCAACTGGGTAGATAAATGACGGCGATTGTTCGCCAGTGATTTGTGCTCCATAAATTTGACCCGTATTGTAGTCATAACGATATATTGAATTGACTCCGGTTGGCGAAACAAAATCTACCGCATAAATACTTTGCGTTTGAGCATCCCAAACTGCTCCGGCGATAAAGTTGGTATTTGGCATAGATATCGGAATTATGTTGACGGCCGTGGCCATTTTTCCGAAGGAACAGTGCTGGAAATATGTTAGTTAATAGTTTTAAAATGCAAAATAGCACGATTATGTCACACACAAAAAGCAAATTCACTAAGTTAGCAATGTTTCTGGGTGACTACATACAAACAGGTTACTGAGAATCTACCACAGTATTTTTGTATATATCGATGATAGAGTTACCACAGTTTGTTTGAAAGTTACCACAACTTCAAGAGTATTTTTACATTTTGTATCGACACAAACTGTGTCAACTCTTCCACACCCCAAAATATGTAGTGAACTTACACCATTTTCTTTCTGTGTACACATGCATATGATCGACTGAACCAAAAGCAGCACAACACCAAACGACTTATGCATTTTAGCTAATGCCAGGTAAAATGTAATAAATTATTATAAGAAAAACACCTAACGCAACTGAATGTTGACCAAATGTGGACGCACTTAAATACCTTCATTACGATGGAGAAAGTATTGAAAAGAAAAAATGTTAACGAATAAAACATCAAATAAACAACAAGGGCACAGCTGTGTATTCACACACAAACAATCAATGTAGATCGAGTAATCAAACAATTTTGGTACAAAGCAAACATTGGAAATAAGTTCTGTGTATATTGGTGCACGGTCAAAACTTCAAATGGGGTTCTCACTTTTGAAAAACGCTTCTATCTCGGTTAAAATCGGATTTCATACAAACCGGGAGGGAATTTAAGGTGAGTTATACCGGCTTACTCTCCCTATACACCAGATTGATTCTGCTATATTTAATAAGATTGAAATGAAATCAGTAAAGTCTGATGTTCTATTCTACATTCAAATGTATGCAAATTCGATCCAATTCTCAATGACGAGGTTAAAAAAATCTCAGCGGCTTTCAATCATTTAAATCTC